TTTTATAATTAAAAATATCACAATCTAAAACAAATAAACTGATTTTACTTAAGGTAAAGTGTCAAATTTGAGAGATTAATGCAATTTGCTAAAGCAGAACCTAAGCCTGATGCACCTTCGTCACCAATTTTATTGTAACTTTTTAAATATTGAAGAAAGAATATATCATTAAATAGTTAATTAGAAGGAAAAAATGAAGAAAAAATATGAAATAATAAGATTAATTAATTAATAATAAAAGTAAAAAATTTGAAAATAAAAGGATGAGCTAAATAAAAATTAACAAACAAAGAACAAAAAAAAGCAAGCACAATGTAAAAGAAAAAGAAAAAAGAGCTTTATCGTTTTTAATTAGTTTTTATAATTAAAAATATCACAATCCAAAACAAATAAACTGTTTTTACCTAAGATAAAGTGTCAAATTTGAGAGATTAATGCAATTTGCTAAACCAGAAGCTAAATCTGATGCACCTTTGTCACCAATTTAATTTTCACTTTTTAAATATTGAAGAAAGAATATATCATTAAATAGTTAATTAGAAGGAAAAAATGAAGAAAAAATATGAAATAATAAGATTAATTAATTAATAATAAAAGTAAAAAATTTGAAAATAAAAGGATGAGCTAAATAAAAATTAACAAAGAAAGAACAAAAAAAAGCAAGCACAATGAAAAGAAAAAGAAAAAAGAGCTTTATTGTTTTTAATTAGTTTTTATAATTAAAAATATCACAATCCAAAACAAATAAACTGTTTTTACCTAAGGTCAAGTGTCAAATTTGAGAGATTAATGCAATTTGCTAAACCAGAAGCTAAATCTGATGCACCTTTGTCACCAATTTAATTGTTACTTTTTAAATATTGAAGAAAGAATATATCATTAAATAGTTAATTAGAAGGAAAAAATGAAGAAAAAATATGAAATAATAAGATTAATTAATTAATAATAAAAGTAAAAAATTTGAAAATAAAAGGATGAGCTAAATAAAAATTAACAAAGAAAGAACAAAAAAAGCAAGCACAATAAAAAGAAAAAGAAAAAAGAGCTTTATTGTTTTTAATTAGTTTTTATAATTAAAAATATCACAATCCAAAACAAATAAACTGATTTTACTTAAGGTAAAGTGTCAAATTTGAGAGATTAATGCAATTTGCTAAACCAGAAGCTAAACCTGATGTACCTTCGTCACCAATTTAATTTTCACTTTTTAAATATTGTAGAAAAAATATTTTATTAAATAGGTAAGTGCCATAAAAATTTTCATTAAATGAATTATATACCAGTTTTTACATTTTATAAAATTAACCCACCAAGTGAAATACTTGCAAGGCAAAAAAATAGTAAGGTAGAAAGAATTTTTCTACCTACTTATTTAAAAATTATCAGATTGCAAATTCTCTAATTTTTAAATTTTGAAGACAAAATATTGTTAATTAGTTAGCTCAAAGGAAAAAATTAAGAAAAAATATAAAATTAAATAATTAATTAATTAAAGTTAAAATTGAGAATAAAAATGAATTAAATTAACAAATAAAAAAGAAAAAGAAATCAAATATAAAGCTAATAAATAAATAAATTAAAAGAGTTAGCTAGCTAAATTGTTTTAAATTCATTTTTATATTAAAAAAATCACAATCAACAAGTAAACTGTTTATACCAAAGATCAAGTGTCAAGTTTGAGAGCTTAGTGCACTATCCTAAACCAGAACCTAAGCTTGATGCACTTACGTCACCAATTTAATTTTCACTTTTTAAATTTTGAAGACAAAATATTGTTAATTAGTTAGTTCGAAGGAAAAAATGAAGAAAAATTATAAAATAATAAGTAATGAATTAAATAATTAATTCAAGTTAAAATTGAGAATAAATAAATTAAATTAAAAAATAAAAAACAAATGAATAGCTAAATTGTTCTAAATTCATTTTTATATTAAAAAACATCAAAATCTAAAATAGATAAATTATTTATACAGATTATGTGTAATTTTCAAGAGATTAAGGAACTTTCCTACAAGAGAACGTAAGGATGATGAAGACCTTTTAAATATTGAAAAAAACTTACATAGTTAATTAGAAGAAAAATATGATAATATAAAAATAAATAAATAAATTAATTAATTATAAA